TTCAAGGAGTGTTAACAGCCTTTTTCATTTACACAAATGAAAAACTAGATAGTGATGTAAGAATGCATGGTTAAATACTATCTAAATGGTGATGTTATAGGAGTTTAGTAATATGGACAGATTTATTCTAGGGAATGGATTAATATTGTGGAAGTCATACATTTTCTTAGAAATAAGAAAGGAATATACAGGTTAGTACATTTAGCATGAGTAAACAAGTCTTTTAAAATGGCACATGTAAGTGTTAAATTCTTTGAATATACAGTTTATAAACCAGACATGTAATTTCCTTTAGTGTATGTGATAGGTCACCAATTATTTATTTCTGTATTTCAGTTCTGTGGTAAGGGTGAATACTGTCAACTACATTTAGAAAGAATGTTGTTCATAATTAGAGGTAAAGTGCTTAGAGCAGTGCTGAGCCCTAAATACATGCTCAGTGGATATCTGTTCTTAACTATTTTTTTCTGTGAGGCAAATGCGACCATGGTAAGTTAAGCAATGTTGGAGTGCCATATAAGATTCTGCCCTTACAAGGGGGTCATGACCAGGCTGGTGAAGCCCACAGAAGCAGCTGACCTGAACAAGGGGGAGCTCATGGACCCCAGACTGATGGTTGAGAGGCTAGCATGGGACTGATCCAGACCCCCCCCAGAATGTGGATGGCAGTGAGGAGGCCTTGGCAATCTATGGAGCCTATGGTAGTGGATCATTATTTATCCCTGGTGTATGAATGGACTTTGGGAGCCCATTCCACGTGGAGGGATGTGCTCTCTACCTGGACACATGGGGGAGGGCCTGGGCCTTGCCCCGGATGGTATGACAGACTTTGGGATCCCCCATGGAATGCCTCACCTTCCCTTGGGAGTGGAGGGAGGGTGGCATGGATAGCTGGTAGGGGGCTGGGGAGGAGAGGAGGGAGAGGGAGCTGAGATTGACATATGATGCAGGCTTGTGTCTAATTTAAATAAAAAAAAAGAGTGAGTCAGAAGGAAAAAAAAAAAAGAAAAAGATTCTTCCCTTATACCAGTGCCCATGAACCCAAAAGTTGTATGAAGGAAGCTGTTGGTTTGTATGTAGTCTCAGTAGCAAAGACAAAGATATTTTTGGAGGATTGCAGTTATGAGTAGTAGTGTTAACTGTGTGTGTAGGATATATCAGTTCATGTAGCATTTTTGTCATCACCTCTAAATATTAGATATTATTCAAACTTCTAATAAATCCTTGTAATAGATAAGAATTTGTAGACTCATTCGCCATATACAAGCAATAAAATTGTTACTGTTGTATGGATAAAATGTGTATTTGAGTGGGAAGAGTAGAACATTGTGGATTCTACAAATGTTTTACAGGAGGACTTGGAAACTGCCCCATATTTCGAGGGGATTCAGAGGGTATTGTTTGTGTGGTTTTTGTTTGTTTGTTTCTAATGATAGAACATACTGGCTTTGAGGGTGTCCATCAAACTGGCTCACACAGTAGGAGTATTTCATAAGTGCTAACTAGGAGCAAGGCATTGTCCCAGATTAAGAATGCTTCTTTGTTCTTGACCTAGCCATGGTCTGTTAGTTGAGAAAGACCGACTAACAGGTAGTTAATGGGATGTTCTACAATCGGCTGTCGAGCCCATGTAAAAGGAACTGTGGGATGGATAGGAAGAGGCCTGCCAGCAGAGGTTAAGTAAGGTGAGTAGGGTTGCATTCCATGATACTTACCCTGTCACCCTTAGCTGGAAGTTTCTGCTTGATGGATAGTTCTGAGGATATTAGTAATGACAACAGCATATTTAAAGAAAGACAGTTTTTAGTAAGCTGTCTAGCTAATACTGCTTAGTAGATTAGGTTTTAGTATTTTTAATCCTGTGCGCAATGCTGTTAGTTTTAGAAGCTGTTGTCAGTAAAAACCATCACTGTAAGTTTGGGTTTTCATTGCACACCAAAATCACCTTAGACAAGGAAGGCCTGTTCCCCGAGATGGAGTCCAGTTTCAGAATTGATGGTGCCATCCTTTATTTGTACTGCTAACAAAAGGATTTTTAGTATTCAAAGTTGCTTCTGTGTAAAGAAAGATGACATAATAATGTTGCTGGTTCACTCTATCACCTAATGTTCAGGGGGATCAATATGGGTCTTGTTGGAAAAAGTGGTACATCTATTTCATAATCAGTCTACATATCAGAGGGACACGTGTATGTGCTGGATGTGGTGATTCAGAACTAGGACTGGGTAAGAGGATCACAGGTTCCAGGACTGAACTATGGCTTGAGAGTTTAGCTTAAAAACAAAACAAAACCAACAAAAACAAAGCCCAAAAACTCTGTCCCTCATGTAAAGTATATTCTTTATTCTTTTATAATCATAACTTTTCTCTTATCATAAAATCCTGAACTCAGAGAACTCTCAATAAGAAGTTTCTGATATTTATTCGTTTAGAGAAGATGTCATTATGTAGCTCAGACTGGCCTTGGATTTTCAGTTCCTCTGCCTCACCTCCCAAGCACTGGGATTGCAGGTGTATGCTACCATGCCTAGCTTTGATCTGACTTGATCACCATCCTATATTAGCATTAGTTCCCATGTTTCTTCATTTCAGAATGTTCTGCCAGGACTGTTTTTGATTTCATTATTTTTCTTATTTCCTATTTCCCTTGACATAAATTTTTTTTAAACTTCCTGGCATTGAAGTTTGGGAGACTTGGGGTTGCTGTATATGCTTGATGGGGAAGTCCTGTGTATATGTCAATAAAGCACTGTTGGCCAATAGGGAACCAGGATAGGTGGGACTAGGAGTTGAGGAGGATTCTGGGAAAGAGAGACACAGGTAGACATCATGTAGCCGCCATAGAAGTAAGAGGTTCAGACCCTTTCTCCGGTAAGAGAAAGATTAACAATTATGGGTTAAATACTTAAGTTAGAGATAGCCAGTAAGAAACAAGCAAACGGCCAACAGCTTCATAATTAATATAATGTCCTCTGAGTTATTTGGGGACTGCAACTGTGGCAGGGCCTAGGTGGCTGGCAAGGAAGGCTACACTCTACATATGCTGACTTGCTAGGACAAAATACCTTTTTAACTTGTAGAATATACATAACTTTCATATAGTTGTAGTCTTTTAATAGTAGCGGAAACCCCTCTCAGAAGGTACAGAGACTTAACTGCTTGTCACATCTCTCTCTACTCTGGAAAGTTGACCATTGTTTTATCTATTGAGACACAGGTAGTAAATGTGTTTTGAGACTCATTTTTCTCATACAACAAGTTTTCTAGTGTAAAATTCATTGCGTGAAGACTTCTGCAGTGAAGAAGACCTATTTTCAGATTTTGTGACTTGTCCTTAATCTAGTTCTGTATGCTTGAGTGAGCCCACATTTCTCTGCATTTATAAATGTAAGGGATACCTTAGACTTGGAGAACAGTAAGAGAAAACCGTTTGTAGAAGGTAAAAATGAAGATTGCCCACTGGATTAGCTAAATAACAGCATCTTTTTGAGCATTTTGTTTGCTTTCTTTTCATTATTTTCCCAGCTGTTGCAAGTCAGTTGCATATGGATATGTGCTAAATTTTGTCTTATTAGTTCTTTGTTTGGGAAAGGGATGGACAGGAGAGACTGTGACTGTAATTTTTGTTTGTTTTTCTTTATTTTTTCAAGACAGGATTTCTGTGGGTAGTCTTGTATGTCCTGGAACTCACTCTGTACACCAGGTTGACCTAGAACTCATAGAGATCCACCTGTCTCTGCCTCCCAAGTGCTGAGATTAAAGGTTTGTTTGCACCACCATTCCTCGCTGGAACTGTGAATATAGTTTTGATGTTCAAATATGTGTCATTGACAGAAATTTGCTATATTAAATCCTACCTTACATGGAATAAATATTACTACTTTAAAATGGCAATAAAACAATGCTATTCTGTTCAAACATAGTCTACTTCTTTTCAAGTAAGTATTACACTTACTTGAGTCCTCTCCCCTCCCAACTGATTGTTAGCATTTTTAAATCAACTATAATAAACATAATATAAATTAGAAATGTAAAGTATAACAGTGTTAGCCATGTTTTTCAATGTGTATGTGATCACATTGGCTCATTTCTGAAATTTTTTATGTTTCTATTATTCTGAAATGCATGTTGTATTTATAAAGACATAGTTTAGAAGAAATCTAGAATAAAATGGAGTAAATTACACAGTGTACACACATACATTTACTTAAGTTATCTAGCTTGGCCATTAAGTTCCATTTCTTAAAGGTCAAGCTTTACTGGCCCAAAAGCCCTTTAGTAAGCATTTCTTTCTCTTTGCTTCATTGGCTTCTACAATATTGAAAATAATGGACTAATACTTTACATTTCATGTGTTTTCTTCAGAAGTTAAATATTTACTGCAATTATTAAGTATTTAAGTTTGTAATTAAGAATCTAGATTATGCCGGGTGGATGTGGCGCACACCTTTAATCCCAATACTGGGCACACAGAGGCAGACAGATCTCTGTGAGTCGAGACCAGTGTGGTCTGTAAGAGTTAGTTCCAGGACAGGCTCCAAAGCTACACAAGGAACCCTGTATCCAAAAAACAAAAACAAAAACAAAAAAACAAACTAGATTAGTCTGACAAAATGAGAATTGTTGATCCTTGATTGGAAGTTCAGTTGTTACTTCTCCATCAATTCTTTTTTGTTATTATGCAGTAGCTTTAAAAAAAAGTCTTTTAAATTCTTTAACGTGACAGACTTATCACTTAACAGAAATGTGTAGTAGTTAAAAGTCAGGAATTGAGCAAGTGATGGGGATTGTCCTTCTGTGTATATGTATCTCTTATTGGTTAATGAATAAAACACTGTTCAGCCAATGATAGACGAGACTAGGGGAGGAGAATTCTGAGAAAGGAGGCAGAGAAAGCCCTCAGAGTCGCAATGTAGAACCTGGAAGGGCAGGCATTCTCCGGTAAGATAAGGCAATGTAGATTAATAGATAGATTAATAGAAATGGGTTAAATAATTAAAAGTCAGAACTAGTCAATAAGAAGCCTAAACTATTGGTCAGCAGTTTTATAGTTAATATAGCATCTGTGTGCTTATTTGGGGCTGAGAAGGGTGGCGAGACCTGTTGGGTGGGACAAGAAGAATTTCTCAAACAAGCAAGTAGGTCTGCTGACATCAGTCTGCAATCCCAGCACACAATAGGCTAAGGCTGGAGGACCACAAGTTCAAAGTGCATCTGGATCTGGGCCACAGAAAAAGTTCAGTTTACTAAGACCCTCTCTCAAAGTAGAAAGAGGCTGGATATATAGCTCAGTGGGAAAACAACTGGCATCATGTGGAATGCCTTGGGTAGTCCCTAGAACCATTGTGCATTGTGTGTGTGTGTGTGTGTGTGTGTGTGTGTGTGTGTGTGTGTGTGTGTGTGTGTTGGGTGGTGTTGAGGGTGGAGATGACATAGGAATGGGCAGTCATTGGAAGAAGGAGAAAGAGAGAAAGTCTTATGGAATACTGGCAGGAATGCAAGGTCTGACTAACAAAATGAGTAGTGTCCTTCAGAGGGACACAAGGCAAATCAAAAAGGGATGGTGGGCGAAAAGATGGCTTAGCCCTTAAAGGATAAGGCTTACAAAAGGGGCAGGAAGGATGGTGCCATTGATATTTAGAGAGGGGAATGTTTTAAGGAAGTGGATGGATGATTGTATATATTAGCATGATAGTCTATCATGTTGCAAAGCTCTTGTTAATAATCCTAATGAAAAATCTGACCCTTTGTTCTTAATGATAAGCATGATGGTACTCCAGCATGTGTTTTGTGTTTATCATGTAAGTCTCGTGACTTACTATGAGTTTTGCTTAATTGTATGTAGCTATCATTAAGGATCTCATGTATATTTTGCACATGTTCTTAACTCAGCTTCCCTTTGATTTCCTGGCTCAGTGATAACATTCCTCTTGTATTTTCTATATACTGCATGTATGTATCTTTTAATATTTTTCCTCCTTCTGCATAGCTCTCTTCTTACAGTGGAAGATAAAGAAAAAAAAGTGGTTAGTATTATAGCTGGATGTAAAGAAATATGGTATAAAAAATCCAAACCAAAAACTTAGATTTAGTAAGGAGCAAACCAGTAATTTGGATGACATTGATTTAAGGCTTGGTATGGTGAGTGATCACACATATGTATGCATGCAAACCCACAAAAGAAGATTCACATGTAATTAATTGATATATGAATGGTAAACAAAGCATGGAACATAATTCAGTGAATTATTTATTCAAGCTTTAAAAGGAAGAAAATTCTGACATTATGCCCGATATGGATGATTCTTGATGAAGAAATGAATATGCCTAACAATACAAATACTATATAATTTTCAAAATGTGAAATACTTGCAGAATTTTCAAAAATCACTCTGATAGAAGAATTGATAGACATGAGAGTAGGGAATTGCTACATAAATGACTCATACTATTTTCAGTTTCACAGCATAAAAAGTATTCTGAAAATAGATTTTGGTGATAGAAGCACATTAAAATGACTTAATTCTACTTGGTTATACTTATAAAAATGGTGACGATAGTAAATTCTGTGTTATATGTATTTTGTCATCATAAGCATCAACGAGAGTGAGATAAGTAGGAACAGTGATTAACACCCTACTTAAGAGATAGTCAATATGAAAGGAAATTGAATGGTAACTGCAAGTGGGTAATATGATTAAGCAAAGGGTTTTTCTTGGGAACAAGTAGATAAGATTATATTTAAAAGAAAAAAAGGAAGCACTTGACAATTACAAGTACAACAAATTTCTCACAGCTAGTAAGTACTTTTTGAGTAGCTATGTTTGCAAGGTTGTTTTCCTATATCTTCACATTTAACAATGGCATCTGTTTCCTTCAGTAATAATTGTATTCATGAGTTGATAAGATTTTGAGTTTTGCTGGGCAGTGGAGGCACATGCCTTTAATCTTAGCATTCACTAGGCAGAAGCAGGTGTGAGTTCAAAGCCAGCCTAGCTTACAGAGTAAATTCCAGGACAGCCCAGGTTATACACAGAAACCCTGTCTCAAACAACAAACAGAATTTAAGCTCAGACAGGCAAGAAACTTACTGGGAATATAGTTCTCCATTGGAATGCAGAGGATGGCAGTGACTTTAGGTCTGCTCACCATTTTCAAATCCTTTGAATTCATTGTTTATTGGAAATTAGAATAACAGTCCTTGTTAAGCAATGTCCTTTACTTTTTGAAAGGCATTGGAGATAGGAGGGTGGAGATGAGACACCCAAGAAATTATTTACATTATAAATTGGCCTATGAATTTGTTTAGTTTCTCAATTATGTATTATAAGCATTTAAAATGCTAACATTGTTCTTTTATATATTTTGACCAATACCAATTTTTTTTGTGTGGCAGAATTTAATGATAGTGCTATTCTAGCTCTCCCACAGTGAGTAATAATAGGTTTCTGTGTATTATACTAACTGCATTCACACTGATCCAGAGTCTGTGGCTTTAGCAAAGGTAAGCATATCCCACATTGTAGTGTGAGATAGTTGACATTCATCTGCTTTGGTAGTTGACTAAATCTCTTTAGACGGTTTTAAATGGACATGCTTAATTGCATCAATTTGACTGTGACATTAGACTACATTCTCTTTTAGATATGTAACTGAAAGCTTTGAAAGAGGGTAGGTTAAGTTAGTCTGTTTGAAGGCTTGGTCTAGTTTCTTTGAATACTTTTTAGAAATGTAATCTCTCTTAAAACTTGTTTTATGTTAAAAACTGTAGACAGATTTCATCCTGTGATGAATCTAAATGCTAATTCCTGTACATAACTATTTGTTTACCATGCTTCATTGAATGGTTTGAAATTGCAGTATAGTGTATTTTCTTTTTTAATGTAGAATTTCAAAATCTGAACCCTTTAGTAAGTCTGCTTCTCCTCTCCCCCTTCCACCCTCTCCATCCCCTTCTTTCCTTTCTTTCTCTCTTTTCACATGGAGACTCAAAATGACAAAAAGTAATGAATACTTTTTGGTAAGGAGACTTGATCATCAGCAATATCCTTTATCGCAAGGGACCAAAGTGAGATTCACTTACTTCCTTCAGGCAGTTATCAATAATTGTTTAGTTCTTTCTGTGAGACATGCATTATTCTAGACATTGGGAGTAGATAGTCAATAAAGTAGATATTCTGCCCTCATGGGATCAACAATTTCTGGGAGAGATTGAACACATTTGAATGTCCATGTATGCATAGATGCATTTACAATCAGACAACTACTGGTACAGTTTTGTGATAAAACTATGGCAGAGTAGCCAGATAGCCTTTGATCAGGGAAGGCAAGGGCTGCTTAAATAACATACTTATTATTTATTAAGTAATATAGGTGTGTGTGTTGCACATGCACATGGAAGCTTGAAGTTGATGGTGGGAATCTTTCTCACTTGCTATTCCATCTTATTCTTTGAGGCATGGTCTCTGAATCAAACATGAATCTAACCAATGCTAGCCCACTTGCTCTGGGGATTTCCAGTCTTGGCCTTCTGAGTGTGAAATTACAGGTAGGTGGTCACACTTCCCGGCATTTCCTTGGGTCCTACAGTTCTCTTACTTACAAAGCAAGTACTTTGATGCTAAGACATCTTTCCAGTCCTGTCTAGCACTTGCCATTTCTTTTTGGAAAGATTTATTGTAGTTGCTGTGTGGATATGTAATATTTTATTAAATCTCAATTTTATTGAAATGGGCTTATCCAGTTCTGGAAATGGAAAACAAGCACAAAAACCCTACCTACCTATTTTAGCACACAGTTTTCCTAGGTACTGCTTGGTATTTTCTACTGTGACAGGTCAAAATTGACTGAGTTTACCTAAGTTCACTGGGCACATCTAAGTAATGAAAAACTTACTTTAGAAACAGATGGTTGTACTGTATAGCTGGACTGGTCTTGTGACAGCCTCCTGCATCCATCCTGAGGGCTGGAATAACAGGCATGTGCTGCTCCCCAGCACCACATGTAAATTAGAGATGTTATAAATCTTAGGGACACAATACACTGAATTAGTTTATAAATCTTCACAGAGAGATGTCTTCCAAATATTTGTACATTGGAAGAATAGATGTTTCTTTTCATAACACCTAAACATTCATAGGATACCAGTTGTTATTTATCACACTTGAGTCATTACCAGGATGCTAAGACTGTTATGATTTTAAAACATGAAAATACAGGGCATTTTTATAGTGTCATATCTTCATTTATATGAGAACTGGATCTGGGTTACTGTTGAATTTTCCCAATGAGGCTCCTTCAGGTTGGACAGTGGGCACTGTAGTCAATGCATATGCCTGAAATTTACAAAGCCATCCAAAGAGTTGTCTAGGATAGTATTCATGAAATATCCAAAAGTGATATCTTGCTGCTGTCATATCTAGGAGAAGCAGTACTTTTTTTTGTCTCATACTACTATAAAATAATAGTTCACATAATTTTTATTGGCTCTCTTCACTTTCGGTAAGATCTAGTGGAGGATCTGGTTAGCGTCTTTTCAAAAGCGAATCTGACACCATTTTGAACAGTCGTTTTTCGTTATATTAATAGGAAGCAAGGATCAACATTCTCTGAAAAATGGTATTCTGCTGTACTTACACTATTTGCTATTGTTCAGACTGAAGGCATAAAAATAGGCCTTTGTCTAGAGTGTGAAAATTTACAAGTAAATTTGTTAGGTAGAATTGAGAGGTCAATTTTAGTTTTTTGACAGTTCCATTGCAACAAGTAATTCCTAGATAATAAAGTGTTTTGCTTGCACGGACTTTTGAATACAAGAAGGAATAGTTTATAAGTCAATAGAACTTTAAATTATATTTCATTAGATCATATTAATTCATCTCCAACACTTTCAACAAAGAGCAGATTTCTTTCTTCTCCATTGGCACAGCTAGAGGCGAGAGAGAGAGAGAGAGAGAGAGAGAGAGACAGAGAGAGAGAGAGACAGAGACAGAGAGAGAGACAGAGAGAGAGACAGAGAGAGAGAGACAGAGAGAGAGAGACAGAGAGAGAGAGAGAGAATAACATTTCTAGAGCTAGTCACAGGAAGACTAAGCAGTACAGTGTAGATTTGCGAATCAGTAAGCAGCCAATTAGAACAGTGAAAATTACATGAAAGGCAGAAAGAGATTGTTTACAGCTCTAACCAGTAAGATTAAAAGTAAATATGAAATGCCATTTTGTAGCATTTTTTGTTCCTAAATTAGTGTGTTTTTGTTACATTTGCATGATAAGGCTACATTTTTGGATGGATGGTCATGGGAAAGTTTTTTTCATTACATCCTTTTTTTGTGGCATATGCATCAGTTTTGCTTTAATGCCAGTGGTTTTACCTTGGTCACTTACTGAATATAATGTTTACTCTATTTCTGTAAGTGGTCTTTCATCTCTCTTTTGTGATATTTTTGTTTTTGTTTGATACAGGGTTTCATGTAGTCCAGGCCTGGATCAAACTGGCTCAGGTGTGTATAGCAACACTCAATTTGATACAGCTTGGAATTGAACTCAGGGCTTTGTGCATGCTACCTAAGTACTCTACCTGCTAAGATATGCTGCCAGCCCATTAGGATACTTTTTCTGAGGCTGTAACTTGAAAACTGTATGACATATATCATATTCCTCATACTATTTTCACCCACTTGTTTCAGTGTCCGTTAGGTTTTTTTTTTCTTTCTTTCTTCTTGGATTAACTGTTATATTGATCATTGCCAAGTGGTAGTTTTTCAGATTCCGTCATTCTTTTGTTTCTTAGTTGGCATCCTACTGCAAGAAATTTAAACAGAGTTCATTATTTTCATCTTGTCATGTGAGGCTGCCTGGTGATAATAGACATGTCTTGGAAGTAGCCTCTGGGGAAAGGTCAGCCCCAGTGTCTCACTGACTCTTAGAAGTCTCAGCTTCTGCATGTATTTGCTCGCACTGCCATCGATGGCAACTCTTCTCTTTGGCTCTGTGGGTTTTCATTCTGTCAGTCTTATTTTGATGCACAAATGCCCAGTGTTGGAAAGTGATCTTCTCTGCTGGATTTAGTAAACCTTTAATGACTCCCTCTGTTCTTGAACCCTTCCTTTTTGACCTGAGAATGTGTTATAGATGCATCATGTTATTTCTCAGTGCCAGTCTTAGAAGCACTGATTACTTTAGTTGATGTCGTATTTAGAAATCAAGATTTTAGCAAGAATGTTGTTACTAGGATATTATTCTTAGATTTCTCAATGGTCAGACTTAATCATTACAGCTTGTATATATTTCTTTATCAAGAAACCATGAATTCACACTGGCGTTTTATACCTCTAACTTCAGTTCAACACTATTGAGTTGATTTCAACTTACCCTTTCACTATTTGTATCTCCCTTCACTGACAACAAAGTAAATAGGCTGTTACCCCAGCATCTTTACTTATTTGTTTCCCCTGTTTATAGTCCTTTTGCTGACCCTATCAGACTGCTGCTGCTTCCTCACTCCAGACCCTGCCTTGTGTGGGCTTCTGCCATTATAGGGCGGCTATTCCATTGCCACTACATAGGTGCTGGTCGGCAGTAACTTTCTTTTCATCCATATATGGAACTTCTGAGCAATAGAAAGTTGGTTGAGATTTGGAGAAAACTTGGAGGAAGCCTTAGCGGGCACTTTTCAGCATCTTTGGGTAAGTGAGTCTGTCGGTGTGGATTTTCTTTTACTGAAGAGCGTTAGTCATAGTTTTCAGGTCTTATGTAACTTACTCTTGAGCTGTTGACAAAGATCCTCTGTAAATGAGTCTATTTAGTAACTTAATATTTTAACTATTGTGCTACTACTCAGAATTGAGGGAAGTTTTCCTAGAAGTTGCTTTTGCTACAATAGCACTAAAATGACTATGTATACATACTAAACAAAACCTAAGTTGGAAAACATTCTATACCAAGTAAGTATAGCTAATAATAGTTATGAACCACTAGATTTTAAAATGCTAAATATACTAGGAAAAGTCTTATGTAGTTGAAAATCAGACAGAAGTTTTATAAGTAAAATTAACTTGAGAATATTTTTGTCATTGTAATTGGTGGGGGTTTCAGTTTTTAAGGAAAACAAGATTTTCAGGTTTTGAATGTTAGATGTGATAGTGAGCAATAAAAGCCCAATTTCTTTTTTTTTAATTTTTAATAGCTTGTTTTACATGTCAATCCCAGTTCCCTCTCCTGCTCCTCCTCCCACACCTCCCATCCCCCCCAGCCTCCCACCCAATTACCAATTCCTTCCACATAGGGGATATCTAGAGTCTGTCATTTCACTCAGGGTAGGGTCCAGACACTCCCCTAAGAGTCCAGGCTGAGAGAGCATCCCTCTTTGTGCTATGGACACACGATGTCTGTTTGTATTCCAGGGATAAACACTGATCTACTGCTCAGGGCCCCATAGGTTGCCCAGGCCTCCTCACTGACACTCACATTCGGGGGTCCGGATTAGTCCCATGCTGGCCTCCCAGCTGTCGGTCTGGGGTCCAAGAGCTCTCCCTGTTCAGATCAGCTGTCTCTGCTGGTTTTGCCAGCCCACTCTTTGCCAATTTGCTCCTTGCCCCTCTCTCTCTGTCACTGGGTTCCAAGGGTTCAGTTCAGTGTTTAACTGTGGGTGTTTGCCTCTGCTTCCATCAGTTACTGGATGAAGGCTCCAGGATGGCTATAGACATCAAGTTCATTATCAGTAATGGAAAAGCCCAATTTCTACTCCTTTAATTTACTGTCCTTTAAAGGAAGGATTTCTTTAATTGAGCCTTTTATCCTCTCCTTTTTTTTTTCTTGAGTGGGGAATGTCTGACTCCCTCAAAAATGAATGTATTTTATTATATCGTGTTCTATGATAGTCTTGATAATTCTTGGATTCCAGTATTTTATTTATCCAGCACCCAATTTTAAAATCTGTGTATGAATAAATACCAAGTTGACTGCATACAGTTCTTTTTCTTCTTCTTCTTCTTCTTCTTCTTCTTCTTCTTCTTCTTCTTCTTCTTCTTCTTCTTCTTCTTCTTCTTCTTCTTTTTTTTTTTTTTTAACAGATTTAGTTCACTCCAATTGGTGGCCACAGTTGGAGCCTGGGTCCTCACAACGGAGACTCTGGTGTGGGTTTTCACAAGATGCTCACAGAATTCCTGATAAGGAGACTTGGTGAACACAGGCTCTTTCCAGAGGTTAGGGATCAAGTAGCTATAAGTCTTAGAGATGGCATCAAAGGTGGCCTTCGTAAAGTTGCTCAGGGTGGCAATGTAGCACCTGGCTGATGTGTGGCAGTCATCAATATTGACCATCAGCATTAGCTTCTTGGACACAGTAGCAGAGATGATGCCAGTGTCTCTGGTGGCAGTAATGAGATGCACTAGCATAAAGCCACAGCAGCCTATCACCTTCCATAGAACAGTGTGGGGCTGACAAATCTTGTTCTCCAGCAGTCTCTCCCCACAGGGATGATGGAAAGCTTGGCCAAGATGATGGCCCTTTGGATGGTAGTGGCTACCTTCTTGGAGCACCTAACACCAAGACCAGTATGACTGCTGTAATCTCCATGTCTTAGGGTTTTTGTTGCTGTGAAGGGACACCATGACCAGCAACCCTTATAAAGGAAAAACATTTATTGGCTTACAGTTCAAGGTTTAGTCCATTATCATCGTGACAGGAAGCAAGGAGGCATTCAGACAGACATGTGCTGGAGAGGTAGCTGAGAGTTCTACATCTGGATCTGCAGGTAGCAGGAAGAGAGAGTGACACTGGGCCTGGCTTGGGCATTTGAAACATCAAAGTCCACCTCCAGTGACATACTTCTTCCAACAAGGTTACACCTATTTCAACAAGGCTACACCTCCTAATAGTTTCATTCCCTATGGCCCACTTTCATTCAAACTGCCACACCCCAATAATGATAAAGCCTTGACCCTGGTTATTTGGGGATATTCTCTGAAAAAGTCAATAATCTCGTATTCCTTAATGGGGGGAGGAAGAACAGGTATGTTTCTTCCAGGGACTTGATCTTCATGTCACCAGCTGGCCCAGCTTTACCTCTAAGAGCCAAGCCTGAGGAAGCCTCCTGAGCCTCCTAATCCTCAGCCCTTAGATCCCCTGGGCCTTCCTGCTACACCAGCATCATCTGCCATTGTGTTTTCCAAAGAAGCCACTTTGTTTTGTAAGACACAAAAAACAAACAAAAACCAAAAAAAAAAGAAAGAAAGAAAAAAAGAGGAAAGCAGCAGAAAAATGAAAGCAAATATTTGTAAAGCTATTAATTAAAATATAATTTTTGCTTAATATATATTTTAGAAAAAATAGCATGCTTGTCATTTTATGACACATATTCACACTTGAGAAGAAATTTTTTGCTTTATCTAGAAATGCCACTAAAACAAATCGGTCAAGGTTGACTTCTTTCTCTTTGCCTTGTTTGTTTAATAGAATCATTTGTTGTGTAGTCATATACCTATAACTCTACAGTGTGCTTCACAATTGTTGACATGTTGAGAATATCCAGGTAAAGGAGTCAAGGAAACAATGCCCATCTTTAAAGAGATTATTTCATTTGGTATGAAATAGTCTTAAAAAAAAGCTATATCATGTCAGTACCTATGAATGCCAGAAGAGGGCAGCAGATCCCCAGGAGCTGGGGTTACTGACAGTTGTTAGTCACCTGATATGGGTGCAGGGAATTGAACTCTGGTCAGCTAGAAGAGTTGCAAGTTTTTTAAGTGTAAGCTGTCTTGCCATTATTTCAGTCCACTATTAAAAGGAGAAATTTGACTATAAAGGGGAAAATGTATAAACATTTAGCCTTTCTGTTCCTGAGATCAGAAATTTGTTCTGTGACACACAGAGATGATTAAGAAAATTTCATTAAACACTTTTTTTCTCTTACAGCTATTGAGTATGTTGCTGCTGTTGAGTCGTTTTTAAAGAAAACACTCCTAGAATTCACATAGCACAATGTTTTAACTCCTGTATTTGTGATTGAAAAATAAAACCACTAATATATGTTCATAGAATATATTTGAATGAATCATATCTATATTTTGTTATAGATTTGGGGAGTCAGTATTTCTGAGTTCAATTTTTTAGTTATGTCTTTGTTATCTCTCATCATCTTTATGGGAACAACCACTGGTAATAAACATAGTTTAAATAATTGTAAGATACCAGTTTATAGTAGAGAAAGGTCACAGTGCCCTGAGTAGCTGGGATTACTATTGAGAACAGGATATCCCGATAGTTTTTAAGTTTTGAATATCTAGAAATTTGCTAATGTCAGTTTAAAGTCCTACAGAATTTTTATATGATGCAAGGCAAGGAATACATGAACAAAAGTATTAGTACAACTACTAATATCTGAACTTCCCAAGTTCAGGGCATGACTTTAAGTGTCCAAATATAGCATGATGCAGGGATTTAATACATGTCCTGCTGATTGATGTGCAACTAGGAACTCATATTCTCCCCCTGTTCTAAA